TTATTATTATTATTATTATTATTATTATTATTATTATTATTATTATATACTATATAATTTATATAAATAATTAGTACAAAGAAAAGTGTTACAATATATTTTTTTATTACTCGATTGAGGTTATTTTATAGCAATAAATTTATAAATTATGATAATTATCTCCCTTCATTAATTAGTATATTTGCTTCACTCTTCAATTTTAATTTTATCCTTTTTATACAGGAATTAAGTTATATATATCGATAACATAATGAATTTCTTTTACAATGTTCTCTGAAACTGCATGAACGCAAAAGTATTCATACACCATTTGTTTTAGTGTAATTCGACATATTATATTAGGTTATTTATAATTTATTTTAAATATTCACCAATAAGTGCTACTTAATAGAATGAACTACAATTATCGTTTTTATTGATAAGAAGGATAAATATTTTTGATACCGCCAATGCTCAAAACTTAAGCTATTACGTTATTTATGTTTATTTCTTTTTCTTGTTTGCGATGATAGCCAAATCAAAATTTTCACTCCGATAGTGCACCACTTTATTTTTTGTGCTTTTCTTCCTCTTTTTTTATTATTTGAAATTCATTTTTTTCTCTTAAATGATTAATTTGTTATTAAAAAGTAAATTTTGTTGTTAGGGTAAATATTTTATAAAATAAATTTAAGGGCCTCTCAATATGGTTTCGCCTTAGACCACGAGATCCGTTGAGCCTGACATGTCCATCTAAGTCTCGCTTCCCGCATCTTGTCCACAATAATAGCCACACCCACCTTGTCCCGGATAACTTTATTCCTAATCCTATCTAACCTGGTGTGCCCGCATATCCATCTCAACATTCTCATCTCTGCTACCTGACATGAGAGCTCTTGACCGGACAACACTTAGTCCCACACAACATAGAAGATCTGACCACCACTCTATAGAACATACTTTTAAGTATTGGTGGCACCTTCTTGTCACACAAAACACTGAAAACAAGTCTCCAATTCATCCATCCTGCCCCGATACTGTGACATCTTCGTCAATCTCCTCATCTCTCTGTATAATAGACTCAAGGTACTTAAAACTTCCTCTCCTAGGGATAACTTGTGATCCAGCCTCACCTCCCCTTCCACTCCCCGAGTTGCACCAGTGAACTTACACTCCAAGTATTATGTCTTGGTCCTGCTCAACTTAAAACTTTTAGACTCCGGAGTCTACCTCCACACCTCTAACCTCACCTCGCATCTCGCCAATCAATACAATGTCATCTGCAAATAACATGCATCGCGACACTTCCCCTTGGATGTAGCGCGTCAGTACATTTATCACTAGGGCAAACAAAAAAAGGTTGAGTACCAACCCATAGTGCAATCCTACCATGATCGGGAAATGGTCTGAATCCTTTCATCCGGGTCTCCGCTCCATCATACATGTCCTTCGTCGCCCTAATGAAAGTAAGGGATATCTGATTGTGGAAATAAAACCATATCTTCTGGAAACACCCAATTTACTTATCTAGTATGCAGCAAACCATGTTTAACCAGAACTGCATCTGCTACTTGCTTGCCCTATATGATTCTGCCGCCGCCGGGTAATTCTGATGATATTACAGTCACCAGTAATGACCCCTGGGTATGACCACAAACCCCTTACTGCAGAGAGCTTGCGCCATAATTTTTTCTTGCTTCTCTCCAATTCGATCCATAAACACAAATAAAAACCCAACGACTCAATGCAGTTGTTTTAAATTATTTATGGTAGAGGAGGTAAGGGAAGAACTTAGACAATTGCCATAATTTGACCCACACTGCAACAATCTGACCTTTTTGCAAACAACATAATCCTCTCATCTGTTTGGCCGGATTTCTGGAGTCAATCCATCTTCCCACTCTTCTTTGTTGTTTCCTGGAAGGAGCAAATATCTGCTTTCCTTTTGTGGATTAGCATACTAGGCTTTCTTTTGCTGTTTCCCCTTAAGACCTATCCTTTCCTGTGTCACCACCATTTCCACAATTCACCTGGAACTCAAGTTTTTTTTTTTTCCAATTTGCTTGTATTTTGAGCTTAGTGGACTTCTCGAAAGAGCTTCTTTCTTTTGTGCTCTCTTCTCAAAGAGAGTTTAGGTTTCTTCAAATCCCCCGAGCTAAGTTTCCGTCAACCATAACTTGAAAAATTTGATTAATTATGTTGTTATTGAAGCCTAAGTAGCATTTATAAGGACATCAGAATCACATCTGAGACGCACATTGAGACAGGAATGCTTTAAGGTTTGGGAGATGCAATATTGTATCTTTGTGTATGTAAACAAGTGATATGTATGGCTTTCATCTACCAAAAAGAACAACATGAAGAACAATAAAAAGAAAGAACAACATCAAGAACAATCAAACAAAAGACAGACTAGATTTCATAGATTGCCATCAAGAAAGAAGCCATAAGCCATGTTTCTTACTGGGGTTCCCTCTTTGTGGTTAAAATCAAATGCCAACGTGCTTGAAACATAAAGTTCGAAGGGCATGATTTGCTTTCATACCTTCTCAGAGATATGGAAAAGGAGTTCAAATACATGCTGGCATTAACAATCGTGTATTTGGGAGCCCTGTGACTTCCTCTCCAACAACTTTGACAAAATATGTTTTGGTTGGTCCTGTCTTATTTCAAATTATGTAGTTTATGCTTTTAGCATTCCTGTTCTCTCTTAATAAGCATAAGTGAAATATCGTGCCCACTGGTCTTGGGTGGAGTGATGTAAGGGTCCCAAATGAGTAACATGAGTGTTTGACTTCTTTAAGAAAAATGTAGGACTCTGTTTAGGACACTTGTCTGACCAGTATAAGTTTCAGTCTCACGTATGAATCAATTTTGCACCATAAATTTTGGCTTGAAGCTTCTGATAGGAAGCATGATTAATCTTGGTGATCTCATTTGCTAACATTCCTTTAATAGCTACTATTCCCTTGGGAAACTTTCTTCCTCATCTTGTCATTTATGCACTCTTGAACTTCATAGACCTCTCAAGATCTATGAGGTTACACATGAATGTCATGAAATCATTTAACCAAGGGTCCATTGCTATGGCCATTTTGCTTTGTACCGAAGTTGAAAAGCTTGATTGTCTACTAAAAGATGTTGTAAACTATGATGCTTGGTTCCTTCAAAAATACCACCGTGCTCATGTTGGATCCTCCAAAAGTGTACTAATATTTGGAGGATCTAACATGGATGCGGCGGCAATTTTGGAGGACCCGGACAACATTGGTTGTAAATGGTGCATTAGAGTTTCTTATAGTCTTATACAAGTGCATCTTCCACTCCTATCTCCATTTTGCATTTTTTGTGTTTCCCTCTCTGCTCCATCACCAATATTTTCCCCTCTAAATGTGCATTCAAAGCTTCACTCTTATGCTGGCATTTTTGTAACTTTGACATATGCTCCCTGTCGTAAAATTTCCTCTCCGATGAAAACTGTGGCATGGAAACACTTTATCAAGTAGGCATATTATACCTTGCTGTTATCTCCTAGTTTGTTGAGCATTGGTTTCTTGCAGGTCACCTCTACTCTCACATTTGCTGCAGCCTCTGCTGCTGCTGGCATAACTGTATTTATTGGCAATGACATTGGTGTCTGCTCTCGGAATCACTGCACAGAGTTTGAGACGTCTACTGCTATGGCTTTTCTTAGCTGGTTCACTGCTTTGCCATCATTTCTCTTAAATTTCTGGTTACTGGCATCACGATGAAAAGGAATACTTGAGAAACTTAAATTTCTTATGAACTCTTTTAGTTTCCGCTTTTATTCCAAATGTTTGTCAGCATGGGCAATGTCCAAAGCATACAATTCTGTAAATAGGCATTCTGTAAAGGTGTTAAATTTGGTAGAGAAGATTGTGATCGTGCAATATGAACTCCATCTTTGTGCAAGCATCTTGTTAGATTCGTCGGGTGAAGAGAATATTAGCCTGTCATTCAGGAACTTCTTTAACCTGAAATCCAAGGCAAAATAACTTTGAGATGTTCTCTCACTCAAATTTTGTACCACCTTAATATTTGGATTATGGAAATCTCGATTTAACAATTCCCTCGAGCTGCTTCTTACTTGAGGTAACTCCCAATTTCACTATTTTCCTATGTGTTTAAGTTAATTGTGTAAAGATTTTTTACATTGCATAAATTTTAACATGTGATAGTAAGTTATTTATCATTTTTATAAATTATCTATTAATGTTTATCATAGAAATTTATATGTAATTACCATAAAAGTAACATGAGTGTGTAAATAGTTTTATATTATTAGTGCATATAACTTAACTTAGTTTTCTAATGGCTAATTGTTTCCATTGCACATTGTAGCATTAGTCATGAAAAAGAGTCACTTTAATTTAGTTCAAACAAAAGAAAACAAATCCAAAAGAACGTTTGTTGCTCGGCCAATTCAAGACTTGACGAAATATCTTGGTTCCTGTATTCTACGTTCAATTATGTTACCATTGGATTCACTAGCTTCTACACCAACGGCAGGAAATAAAACAAACTTAACTACTACACTTGTATTTCTATGTAAGCACTTAATGTCGTTGAAATGTGAACAATATAAACTTGTTTCCCTTTGTTTACATTTGTCTACATTAGTTCATGAACAAGAATATTAAGTTAGTACATGTATTAGAGTATAAACACATTGATGTACATTGAAAGATACAATATCTAGAGATGGCATCCATGTACCTTGAAAGATGTGAGGTGTAGACTTAGTTATTATGTTTACATGTAGTGTAGACTAGATACATGAAAGATTTCCCCTATAAATAGCCATGTATTCCTAGCCATTAGGAGTAAGTCAAGTTGAATAGAAATCATCATTTCCTTCACTTTCTTCTTTGTGAGTTTTGAGTATTCATTTGTGTTGTCTTGCTCTCCCAAATTTTCTAAGTTTGTGGTATCAGAGCCAATGTATTTGAGAGACAACCAAACTTGGAGAGAAAATGACAAATAGTAATGGAACTCCATTTCAAGTTCTTTTGCTCACAAAAGAGAACTATATAAATTGGTATATCCAGATGAAGGCTTTGCTTGGTGCCTATGATGTTTAGGAACCAGTGAAAGTCGGAGGTGATGGAGCGAAAGATGATGCTGCCTTTAAAAAGAAAGATCAAAAGGCGCTCACTCTCATCCATCAAAATTTGGATGACAAGATGTTTGAGAAAGTTGCAAATGCAACCACTTCAAAGCAAGCATGAGAGATTCTTCAAACTTCCTTTAAAGATTTGGATAAAATAAAAAGATTTCGTTTCCAAACCCTACGAGGAGAGTTTGAATCATTGCATATGAAGAAATCCAAATCCGTTTCGGATTATATTTCAAGAGTTTTGGCTATTGTCAATCAAATAAAGAGATATGGTGAAGACTTGAGTGATGATAGGGTCGTTACAAAAATACTACAATCACTTGATTCAAAATTTAATTATATTATTGTAGCTATTGAATAGTTAAAAGATTTGGATACCATGACCATTGAAAAACTCACGGGTTCTTTGCAAGCACACGAAGAAAAGTTGAAGAAGCCGAAAGAAGAATCGGTTGAACAAGTGTTGCAAACAAAACTTTCTTTTAAGGAGAACGATAAAAGGCAAGGTCGTGGATGTGGACAAGGTTGTGGTGGAAAAGGAAGAGACGGTAGCCAACTACCAAATAAAGAAAACAGGAGTCAAGACTCTAATCAAGGAAGAGGTCATGAAAGAGGAAGAGGATGGGGAAAAAATCAAGGAAAGTATGATAAGTCTAATATTAAATGTTATACTTATCATAAATTTGGTCATTTTTTCCCGGGAATGTAAAAATAATATGGAGAAAAAAAATAATTTTCTGAAGAGCAAAAATGAAGATGGAGATGACATTTTAGTTCTCCCTTGCAAAAGAGAAGAAAGTATAAAGAGAAATTAATGGTACCTTGACTCCGGTGCAAGTAGCCATATTTGTGGAAAGAAGAATTTATTTGTGGAGCTTGAAGAATTGAATGGTGGCAACATCACTTTTGGTGACTCTCCGCGAGTTAAAATCAAAGAAAAAGGTACAATTTTAATTCGTTTGAAAGATGGTAGTCACCAATTGATTTCTAATACTTTGTATGTACCAGAGATGAAAAGTAATATTTTAAGTTTGAGACCGCTTTTGGAGAAAAATTATGATATTCATTTGAAAGATAAAAAGTTGTTCATGAGAGATGAAAATAGGAGATTGTTAGCCAAAGGTCCGATGGCTAATAATAAAATATTTGTTTTAAACCTTCAAAGTGACGTTCCAAGTGTTTGCTTTCATGTGCCAAAGATTCATCTTGGCTTTGGCATATGAGATTTGGTCGTATGAATTTTGATAGTCTAAGGTTGATTAAGAAAGAAAGTATGGTGAATGGATTGCCAACTATTGATCATCCGAGTCAACTTTGAGAAGGATGTCTCTTTGGAAAGCAAGCAAGAAAAAGCATTCCTAAAGAGCCGTTGACTAGAGACCAATGCCCATTAGAATTGATTCACATGGATGCGTGCTACCAATTAAGCCATCTTCACTTGGTAAAAGTAATTATTTTTTACTTTTCATTAATGATTTTTCTAGAAAAACTTGAGTGTATTTTTTGAAGGTGAAATTAAAGGTGTTTGATACTTTCAAAAAATTCAAGAGCATGATGGAGAAACAAAGTGGCTATCAAATTAAGTCATTGCGGTCCGATAATGGTGAAGAATCCACTTCAAATGAATTCAAGTTTTTTTTGTGAAAATAGTGGAATTCATCACTTTTTGATTATTCCAAGATCACCACAACAAAATTGTGTCGTGGAAAGAAAGAACCGGACTATTCTCAACATGGAACAGAGTATGTTGAAGATCAAAAATATTTTAAAGGAGTTTTGGGCTGAAGCAGTTGCTTATGCAGTGTATTTGTCAAATCGGTGTACACCAAGAGTATTCGTGATAAGATACCTTAAGAGACTTGGAATGGTTTCAAGCCAAAAGTTGCTCATTTGCGAGTTTTTGGGAGCATTGCATATGCACATGTGGCGGATGAGAAGAGGTCCAAACTTGATGATAAAAGTGAGAGGTATATTTTCATTGGCTATGATCAAAGTTCTAAAGGTAATAAATTATATAATCCAAGAAATGGCAAGGTCACCATAAGCAGAGATGTTGGCTTTGATGAAGATAATACTCGGGAATGGAAAACTAAAGAGCAAGATTACTTTTTTAGTCCTTTCTTTGATGAAGATGATGATGAAGAAGTTGCGGAGCAACCTATCACACCACCTTCAACACCTCTAGTACAAGTTCAAGAAGAAGATGAGTCAAGTTCAAGTTCTTCAGGTGAAGTGCCTCAGAAAATTAAAAGTCTTCATGAGTTGCATAAAAATGCAGAAGGAGTAAGAAAGATTTATATAATTTGACTCACTTTTCTTTGTTGGTGGATAGTAAGCCTTTAACTTATGAAGATACTTCCCAAAAGGCCAAATAGAGAGATTCCATGGATGAAGAAATTAAGGCAATAAAGAAGAATAATACTTGGGAATTAGCCATACTTCCAAAAGGCAAAAGCACCATTGGTATCAAATGGGAATATAAGTTGAAGAAAAATTTCAAGGGTAAGGTGGAAAGGTACAAATCAAGATTGGTTGCCAAGGGATACAAGCAAAAGGCCGGTATTGACTATAATGAGGTATTTACACTGGTTGCTCATTTGAAAATAATTCGTTTTATTATTTCTTTAGCAGCTCAATAAATGAAAAATTCATCAAATGAATGTGAAGTCGGCTTTCTTGAATAGTGTTCTGGAGGAAGAGGTTTACATTGATCAACCTTTGGGCTACAAGGTTGAAGGACATGAAAATAAAGTTATGGAGCTTGAGCACATGAAGTCACAAGACCAGATTGCGGATATTTTCACCAAGCCGTTGAAGATTGAACTCTTTCAAAAGTTGAGGATGGCTCTTGGAGTGATTAAACAAGTTTAAGGGGGGATATTCAAATGTGAACAATATAAACTTTTTTTTATTCGTTTATATTTGTTTACATTAGTTCATGAACTAGAATATTAAGTTAGTACATGTATTAGAGTATGAACACATTGATG